GTGCCCAGGGCCAGCCTCCCGCCGCCGGCCTCCGCCTGGGGCCCGCCAGGGGGCGCGTGGAGGAGGAAGTCTTGTCCCTGCTGGGAGGAGAGAACAGCACAGCAGTTCCGGTCAGAGGCTCCACTCCGACGGCAGCACGTGCCTTGCAGAAAGCACGCAGAACCGCGCCGAGACAGCACGACCATGCGACGTGGGAACGCCTTCTCTGGCACCGCTGTGTGCTGCCTGCTGACAGTCGCAGCACGCCCCAGGAGGGCAGTGACTGCCCCAACCCCAACGACCTCAGGAAGCAGCTGAGTCACGAAGGCGCCCGAGGGAAATCTCACACAGAGAACTTTGTCCCTCCTGTCACTCCTCTGTGGGCCTGGGTCTCACTCCTGGGCTGGGTGGTTGGTAAGGACATTCAGACACGTGTGGCGCCACCCCACTGTGCCACTGGACAAAGTGCGAGAAAATCCTTCTGAGGGCCTGCAGCGTGTCCTCTGGAGTCTAGGCGCTCGGACACCGACATGTGACTCTGAAAAGGCAGAGCCTCCCCAGGACCCACCTGGTGAGGCCAGTCCCGGGAGCTGTCTGAGGGCAGGGTCTGGTGTCGCCATGCGAGAACCCACTCGAGGAGGTTCCCGCTGGGGAGCAGACCCCGGGGTTATACCAGGGGAACAGAGCAGGTCTGGGGGTGTCACAACAGAGTCCCCAGGAGACAGTCCAGTGCAAAGCCCTGACTGAGGTCTAAGAAAACCTAAAGCAGGAGCCACTCACTATGGGCCACCCGCTTGGACCTCGGGCCCCTGTCACCAAAGAGAACGTCAGAGAGCCTGACAAAGAATGGAGACCCACAAGTCCTGCCAGAGCCTCCCGTACCAGGAAGAGCCAGGACGGCACAAGGAAGCAGGGCAAGCTGGTGCCGCCCCCACCCCACACGTCCCCCGGGGATCCTCGAAGGCACTAAGGCCGAGAGAGAAGCCATGCACTAGATGAGACATCCGGGGTTTCTGCCAGTGTGACAAGGCTGGCTCGGCAGGTGACTGGAAGGGAGATGGGTCTGACTGACGTGGCAGGTGGGGTGGGCCGGGTCACTGTGGTGCAGGGCGTGCTCTCCACCCCCCCGCCCACTCTGCCCCTGCCCCACGCAGACCCGTACCCACTAGTGATCCTTGGCTGCTTTGCCCTGAAGCCTGGGGACAGGGAAGAGGTCTGCTCACCCTACTCCTAGTCAGCATCATACTGGAGAGCTCAGCCCACGGAATATGGCAAGAAAAAATAAAAGACATACAGACTGGAAAGGAAGAAATACATTATTTGTAGGTGACGTGATCATTTATGTAGAAAATCCTAAAGAAAATTCTAGAAAAATCACTAGAATTAATAAATAAGTGTTCACAGGATACAAGGGTTAATTATACAAAAACAACTGCATTTCTATATACTGGCAATATACAATAACTGAAAAATTTTAGAAATAACATTTAAAATATTAAGAAAAATAATAAAATACTTTGGAAATTTTTCAATACACTACATGCAAAGCCTGTAGTTTGAAGACTACAAAACTATTCTAAGGATAAAGTTAAAAGACCTAAGTAAATAAAAAAACAGTCATACCATGTTCATGGATTGGAAGATTCAGTATTAAGATGTCAATTCTCCCCAAATTGGTCTATAACTCAACACAATGCAGGTTAAGAATTCAGCAGGCCTTTCTGCAGAAACTGGCAAGGTGATTCTCAACTTTATATGGGAATGCAAAGGACCTACTAGAATAGCCAAAACACTTTTGAAATAAATAACAAAGCCAGAGGACCTCTCCTACCTAATTTCATGACTTACTATAAAAAGCTTCTGGGGACAAGATAGTATGGTACTAACAAAAAGACAAACATGTGTGTGAAGTGGAACACGGTCCAGCGGTGGGACCACACATACAGCATTAGCTGATTTTGACACAGATGCCAAAGTAATTCAATGAGGAAAAACAGTATTTTCAAAAAATTGTTCTAGAACAATTAGATATCCATGCGAAAAGAATGGACCTCGACAGTTACTTAAAAAAAAAAAAAAAAAAAGACACAAAACATCACTCAAAATGGATCAGGGATCAAATACATAAGCTCAAACCATAAGACATCTAAAAAAAAAAAAGACAAAAAAAAATCTTTGTAACCTTAAGTAGCAAAGATTTCTCACATAGAACACAAATGGCCCGAGTCATTTAAAAATTGGTAAATTTGACTTGATCAAAATTTTAAACTTCTGTTCTTCAAAAAAATGTTAGATGATGAAAAAGCAAGCCACACACTGGGAGAAAAAATTGAAGATTTAAACAGCCACTTCACCAAAGAGAGACAGGTGGAAAATAAGCACTCAAAAAGATGCTCAACAAGTCATTAAGAACCTGCAAATTAAAAGTATATGCAATGACACGACGAGCCACTAGAATGCTGTAACCAGGGACTGCCAATACCCAGCCTTGGCGAGGGTGGGGACCAGCAGGAACAATCGTATGTGGCTGGAAAACAGGACAAGCACTCTGAAAATTAGCATGACAGCTCCTCACATCAATGGTAGTCATACACTTATCCCAAGACCTTGAATTCCACTCCTAGGTATCTACCAAAAAGAAATGAGCTACGTCCACACAGAGACTTGTACTGAAATGCTACCAGGAGCTTTCTTCGTAACAGCCAAAACCAGGAAACACAACGTCCCTGCTGGTGATGGAGAAACAAACTGTGGTTCATCCACACAACGGAACATCTCTCAGCAAGAAGAAGGGATCAGCTACTGAGACGTGCTGCAACAGGAAAAAAATCTCAAATGCATTGTGTCGAGCAAAGAAAAG